TCTGGAGATGGGAATAATCCTGTTGTTACTAGCCCCAGGGATTCTGTACTATCCCTTGTTTCTTCCGGAGAGTCTACCTACAATGTTGCAAATAGTCCCTTCAATAATCGCTATGCAAATTGCCAAATTTGTGTATGCCATCTGTTTTTGGCTAGGACCTTGACTGATAATGATTTTTTGTTTTGTTAAATCTATTTAGCAAGTATTAAGATACTGAGTAACAAAAATACACCTTACAGTTTGGGGTTCGTGAAAATCAACATGAAAGGCAACCTTTCCAGAAAAAAAGTATTTATTATATTCGAGATGCCTAGTTATGTTAAAGTTGGCTAGGCAAGAGCCTAAAAAAGAGACTGTGTGGGCAAATGATTAAAATGATTATGCTTTTGTATCTGGATTATAGTACATTGTGGTAGAACTACACGGCATTATTTGCTATGTAAGTTATATAACAATTAGACATAGCATGATTTCTCAAACATATTCTTGATGAGGGCTTTATAGAGATCTAGAGTTTGAGAAATTCAACGTAGTAAATAAAGGCATTGTGTGCAATGGTCCAGGTGTTGGCTCTGGAATCTGAGCCCAGGGTGTGAATCTCTTTAAGGCTCAGCTTAACCATACTACCTACAATGGGGATGATTTTTCTACCCTAATTTACAGCCTTGTTTGAGAGGTGAAAGGATGCTGCCTTAAATCAGTTTTAGAAAATGTAGAGTACTATTATCCACAGATAACATGAAATATCATTGTGTAATGATGTTAAAACTCCCCAGATACTCTCAGAATAACAATAGGAAAATGTAGAGAACACTTAATAAACCCGGAAGAAAATCAAAAGACAGAACAGGAAGGATTAAATGGTTCTAAATCTTACATTCTACTGATGGAATTTATCTTCCCTATCAAGGGTGTGCGAATTATACCAAATTTTAGTTTCCCAACATGCTTGATCTGAATGATTTTGGATATTTTCTACAAAGTACATTGCCAAAGAAATTCCTATCAAGGTTTGTATTCAAAGGCTTTTTTTTTTACTTAAATTATTATTTTTTTTATTTTAAAGGCAATGATCCGTTCATTATCTTTTCTTTTTAACTTAAATTCTTATAACTGTTTAAATTTGTTACAATCCCCCCTCCTGCCACACCCCACCCCTGCCTCCAGAATCTCCCTGTCCCTGTGTTCTCTTTTTCTTTTCTCTAGATAGTTCAGATCACAGCATGATATTGATAATTCTTACAAGGGAAGATCAATCAGCATTAGAAGTACACCATTTGTATAGCTGGTAATATACAGCATTAGCTTTTTACGACCATTTCTTTCCTTATCTTTTCCTTTCCTCCCTCCCTGCTTAGATTGTTCTTTCAGCAAAAATGCCGCCTTAAATCTGCATATTAATAAAGGCTCTGCTAATTACTAAGCGGTGTGCCCTAAGTCAAGTTATGTAACTCCTCTGAAACTCATTTTTCCCTGCGGTAGTTTCATTTCTCAAATGAAGACCTCCACACTTTCGCAAGAAAATACTACACACAACACAAGCTGTTAGGATGATGGAATGAGATATTTGTAGAGTACTGAGCAGGGTGCCTAGAACATCATATGCATATGACAACTGGTGGTCACTATTGTTATTACTTTAGTTATCACTTCTAATAACAAGTAACAAGGGTGATCCCTTTTTCTGAAGTACTGTTTTTTTTAATCATCCTTTAGTGTTTTTTTGTACTTTTATTGTGTGCATCGAAATATGCATTTCAATATTTTAACCATAATCTTTATATGGAGTACTCACATTTAAATAATAAATAAGTTTAATAATAAAAAAGAATAATACCCTTAATAAAATCTGAATTAATAATATCTTTAACTAGCTATAAGCTTTCTGTTTTACCATTAAAATAAGGTTTTTTAGATACCAACAAACCAGAACTCTAGTGAAAATGTCTCAGAGCTTCACACCAAATACTAGTCAAGGATAAGAATACCAATGAGATGCAAAATGTCTCAATGACTAGCAAAATGCTGACGAAAGAGGGGGAAAAGCTATGTGTAAGTTTTTTTTTTAAATTACCCTAAAGCCCCTACATATCTTGTTTTTCTCCAGATAATGAAAATCTTATATACGAGAAAAATAAGAAGATCAAGGGAAAATTCTTGACAGCATATACTAAATTCAGAATGTTTATTGCTTGGGGGAAACTGAGACCCCTATAATAAAAAATGAAATATTTTTAAATTTTATAATAATTTTTAATCCCATATATAGAAACTTTATTTTGTTACCTAAAAAAACAGTAAAAAAAAAAAAAAGCAACATTTTTTCTATTTTAAGATATATTTTCAAAGGAAAAAAGAAGCAGCAAATAATATTCCTTTGTTTTAGTAATCAAACATTATAGTTCCAGAATTGGCCTCCCAATTCCATACCACAGTCCTTGATTCCACTGTTTACCTCCTAGCTGATTTTGTTTTTGGTAAGAAAGATATGTTACAGCCAGAACTGAAAGAGCCAAACCACTTCTAAAATCCTACTCCTTAGAGATGAGGAAGTATTTAACTCAGGGGGAAAAGCTCAGGGCCACCATTCAATCTGTGTGTGCGCTGGAGCTGGCTTCCACAAACTAGTGACAGCCAATGTTTTGCATATCTCTTCCCAATTCTGCATTCAGATACCATGTTGGTAGCTCTACTAAGTCAGAATGGAATATTAAGGTATTTACACTATGGAAATTGGCAAAGGCAAAGGCTACAAATTAGAGCATTTTTGTGGCCTGGAGCAGGGAGTCAATTATTAAACTTTTACCAGGACACTGTTATCCTAATTCCTTGGATACTGCTTTCATCTCTGAGTAAAGGGACCTCGTCTGTGTTGTTAGCTGCTGTACCTCTAGGGTTCATGGCATCAGGTAGGAACTCACTGATTATCTGTTTAAGAAATGAATGAACAGAATGTCCATACAATGTCATCAACTAGAAAATCTATTTTTGCTTTATAAATTTTCAGATCAAATTCAGTTTATTTGCTGTATCTGATGACTACACTGGCTGAAATAGAATCCAAATATTCCCTTCACAGAAGAAACCAAGGCTTACATTTGATGTTAACTTGCTCAAGGACAATTAGTTAATGGCAGAACTAGCACAAGAATCTATTTCTAGCCATGTCTCAGTATACGTTTTATGAAAATGCACTGCCTATCTGGAGTTAAGACTTTTAAATTATATGTGCAAATATATGTAAGCCATGCAAATTAGAGTATCTTTTAAAGAACTAAGCAAATATTGTAGTGGTCAATAAGAAGAAAATCAATTATATCAATAATGAATGAATACTCCAGAAAAATATTAATAAAAGCAATGTGGATACTTAAGATATTGGCCAAGGTAAAAATGTTTTTGCATTTACAAAGTGCTCTTTCCATTGGTACTCTCAATAATTAGAGTCTCAATCAAAACAGGTAAGTATAAAGGGAGACATTGCTAATAATGTACTTAAAGAAGGAGCTACAGAAACTCTCTTTTAATAGAAAGGACAAGTAAGCAAAGCACGCAGGCCTAGGAATAATTGTTCCAAACTCTGCATACCCAAAGCGTAGCAAGGAAAAAGGTGTGCCAACAAAGCAAAACTACACAAAACTCTGATGCAAAGACACTGGACACCACAACAGAGATCCTGACAGACAGAGCAAACCAGGACTCCCACCTGATCATGTGACACAGGAGCTCTGGACCAAATGTCTTAGAGAAATGAGATTAAGAAAGTGACATTTCCTGAAGTCATTGGAAGTCAGAATTTATAGACTGGGACTGGTATCGATTCCAAAAGCTCAAAGATGCAAAGGCTTCTTAAACAAAAACATTTGCTAGCCCCAAGATTTACAAGGCAACTAGATTTGATCCTTATTCCTTAGACTCTGAGAACATGAAATCCGCAAATTAAACAAAGTGAAGAGCAAAACATCACAAGGGATATATTCTATCTACTGTCTTCCATAAGCTTCTTACACCATCTATTTCAAAATTTTCCTATTACAGGAATGTTCAAAGTTTTGCCAAATTCTATGATTAATCAGATCTTCTCCAGAGAACTAATACTGAAATACTAGTTTAAGCAAGTAACTGCATATAATTTCAGCAATATAATAAAAAATATGAGTAGCTAAGGAATTTACCCACCTCACCTAAAAATAAAAGATAAATAATAATACTGAGGAATTATTTCTCATACAGCCCTATGAGGCAGGCACTATTATTAGCCTAAGTTAAGTCAACTGCCAACAGCATGCAGCTAGAAGTAGGAGAAGTAGGAATTGAAATTAGGTAGTCTCCTTTCAGAGTGTACTTCTACCAACTGCATTCTCCTGCCTATCTTTTTATCTATTTGTAAGTGCATAAAAGCTCAGAATTATATTTTATTTTACTTAACAAGTTTGAAATCAGTGAGGGGCCCTGCCTCTCATGAAGCTGACTGGAGTAAAAATGCAACATGGGCAACTGTAAGCCTTTTCCCCAGAGGCATAATCGCAAGTCTCCTGCTCAGCTCAGTATAGCATAACCACTTAAGGAAAGACGGTTTAGGAATTGCAAAGTTAGCAAAAGATTTTCAACATGTATTAAAATATTTTATGTAAAAGCAACACTCTTGTAGCTTAATGTATGCTAATGAGTTTGGGTTCTTGATATCTACAACTAACCATCAGAGACGTGTGTGTACGTCTCATCTTTGATTCTTGTTCCTAGAAAATCAATAAACAAGGACTTGGAAAAAACCTGCCATTGAGGGCTAGCATTCTGTTTCTTCAGGCACTTATGAGAAAATATTAATTCCACTTTACAGTATGAAACCTTTAAATATTGTATGAGGTTCAAATCAAATACAAGAAAGCAATTTCCTTGAAAATGCACTGCTTATATTTAGGGGCTGTTATTTTAAGGTACCTGCTTAAAGAATACACAAAATAATAATGGTAGGAACTTGAAATTACAGAAACACTCACCCTAGTTTTGGCATCGATCTGACCACCACGATCCAGTAAGAGCTTCACCATGTTTGTGTTTCCCCTTTTGGAAGCCACATGCAGAGGAGTGATTCCATTCTACACCATGGAAAGACCAAACGAGAGCATGTTGGGTATGACAGGGCATGATGGTGAAGACTGCATCAAAGGGCACAAAGGAGGTTGTGACCTATGTGGTAATTTGATCCAAGGTTTCTATAGTTTCAATGTATTTGATTTTTAAGGAACAAGAAAGCACACAAACCACAAAGCACTATAGTTAGAGAACAAAAAATGGAATGAAACTGCTCAGCTAAGTTAGCCAGTAACTACAACACAGGTATTGAATGTACACATTACAGTCAAGAGACACAGGGAGCACTTTTGCATAATAGAAACAAAATTTCAGATTCTACCTTGGAGCCCTAGTCCAAAATCAATCATTCCTACAACACTCAGGCACTTAAAAATTCTGGGTTCTTAAAATTTCCTATTCTTAAAATAGAATACAAATATACATATCAAAACTCAATGGAAAATGATTCATAAAAACACCTCCTTCAGAGTAATTCAGTATGAAAAACGACTTGAAAACAGCTCAACATTATTTCGGAAGAGAAGACTTCTAAGTACAAAACACCATATATATGAATTACATTTACCTTATTGGCTATCATATATCATTATTATGGCAAGGATTTGCACCTGTTTTTTTTTACATGTCATAATTTTGCAAATGTTCCAATATTGCATTTATTGATTCACATTAAGTATATTGAGTTTTATAATTATTATGAAAGTGAATTCTTGGGACTAAAAACACACCATTAAACACTAATGCAACATGATGTAATTTTTATGTATTTTGGTAAGAGTCTTTATGTGAACAAATTCTCAATTCATTAATTTCTTGCCAAATAGTGTACCTTATAATCACTGTTAAGACAATACATTTTATACTTAACATTTTAACATTTTAATTGTTTATTGACTTGGAGCTGTTCTTTCATGCATGATTCATGGAGTGAGCTTTAAATACAATTGCTCATATTGATGTCAGAATTGAAATCCTCTTTAACTATTGCAAACAATTTGTGTGCATGTGAATTTATAGTCTTATTTCTGACTTGGGTTGTGATGACTGCCTATGATTTGAAGAAAAAAATGAAAAATCTATTATTTTCAGCACAGATTCAAGTAAAGTAAAAGAAGCAAAACCTTTATTCGTGTTTGTTTTTACTTTAGTAAATGCCCATTTATTGCTGTCTAAAATGAGAACCTATTTTAATCCATACCCTGGCTGTGAAGTCCACAGCAGCTCCCCGGTTTAGAAGAAGAGTTGCCACATTGACATTTCCATAGTGGGCGGCAATGTGCAAAGGAGTAAAACCACTCTATGGAAAGCAAAGAAAATGACAGTGAGTAAAGCATTTCAGCTCCATAAATGGCAATCACTGGATTAGTAAAGAAAATCACATGGTATTTCTCTACCTAATAGGTGAGCAATAAAGTTCATATGATAAATGATTCAATAAGACTCTTTAAATTTTAGTCCTCTCCTAGACGGTAAATAGCTAAATATGCAAACAGGTAAATAAATATCCTACATTTTCTGGCAGCATTATTTTTAATTAGCTTAATGGTTTAGCTACTTATGACATTTGTTGTTTATACAAAGCCATGTTTCTTAAGTTAGTTTAGCTTGAGAGAAAAACATCGTATGATTAAACAACATCAGGTTTCAGCCATAGGATGAACATCACTGTGAATAAAAAGCTTTCTCCAGAGAAAGACTCAAAACTACTTTGTTGTTGTTATTGTTATTTTTAAAGAAAAAGAGCACTGGTTGGCCTTTTATCTTTGGAATTATGAAAATGCCATGAGAAACTCTTACAGATGAAGTAAATTCATTCCACGTCATTTATACTGTTATGATATTTCTATCCTCTTAACAGCTTTAGTCAGACTATGTTGTTATAGTGAAAAAAAGTTAAAAAACAAAAATTAAACAATATACTTGGCATCAATATGAATATAAAAGAAAGAAAAAAATTCAGTTTAACCCAAATTAGTTGAAGGCTAATTAAATAAAATATTTCAATTCACAAGATATAAAATAAGCAGATTAAATCAACTGGTGGGGGGGGTCATTACAGAACTGTTTACTTTCAGAATGTTTAAAAATGAGTCTGAAACTCTTAAATAGAAAGAGTATATTTCCTTTTGTTTCTTTTTCTGATGACAATTCAGTTAGAACTTTTTGGCATTTCACAACAGATGCATATTAACTCTTTAATTATTAAAGTATGCAAAGATGATTATCCTTGCTATCCATAATTTTCATTACTTAATAAATGATTATACAAACAATGAAGACTGCTCCATAAAAATGAAAATCAAATCCTGACATTTTGAGGTTATTTTGTTTTGTTCTCTTTTATTTGAAATGAACTTTGATGAATATAATATTGCTTTTAAGTATTATTAAAATCACAACTGTTATTTTCCTATTCACTTGATATATGGGCTTTGGTGACTTGGCTTTTAAAATGGCCCAAACAAGTTCCTCTGTGCTGTCAGCCAAATAAGCTGCATGTAATTTCTGACTAGAGAAGTAGGATGCAAAATCAGAATAGTACGTATCAACCCAAATCTCACACTTGTGGTCAAGATATTATTTGGTGTCTACATGATGCCAAATATTCATGTCAAAATGGAGGGGCATACCAATCTACAACCTGGTTCTTATTTTATAAAATGTCAAATTATTATATTTTAGGAAATAATTGTATGTTTTTCATTTTTATCTTAATATTTCCTGTCACCCAGACATATCCTGAATGTTTGTCTATTATTCAAGTTACAGTTTAACTTCAGAAAAACATAGTGATTGTTTGTGAATCACTTTCAAATTATTCAAATATAATATTGTCTTTCTCGTTTGCAAAAATAAACTTGTTTATTTTCTGATACAGCCTCATGGACCATTCATGATGACTCTTAGATCAACATGAGGCTGGTATAAGCCCTTCAGAGGAACTTTTCCCTGATTAGCATGGAGGGAGAAGGCTCAGTTGAGCTTTCCACAGGATTATTGGGAAGGGGCTCACCCTCTTTGCTACATTATTTTCAAAATGTATCTTAAGCAATCACCAAAAATCACCTAAAAAATTAAAATAATTAAAATCAGTAAATTAAAGGTATTAAAAATCAGTAATTAAGATATCAGTTTGTATGGTTCCAGTCTTGAGCAATTTCACAAAGCAGCTGGGCCTTTTGTTCAAACCCTTACAGGTCCACAATCCAGTAATCATATGAGGTGTTAAAAAATCCCATCAATAAGGTGAACATTAACCTGCATAGATACTTGCCTTTGAACACAGGTGAAGTTTTCTAACATAATTTCAACAATGTTTGTGTTAATGCCTCTCAGTAGCAAAGGTCAAGGAGAGACCACTAAACACACACACAAATGCATGAGCTTACACAAACACACACACACACACACACACACACACTTCACAGATACTAAAAAGAGGCTTCTGAACTGAATGTTTTTGTTGATGATGTGACTTATTTTGGTATGTGGAAAATAGATGATTTCGTGACAAGTATTGTAAGACATAGCAAGATAAAAGCAAATGCTTTGCTTGATATCATTATTGATTATATACAATATGGTAAAAAATAATACAGAAAAAAGGGCAACTGCAATTAGATAAAAGGATGAAACAGGGGCAGAGAAATCTTCTTGAACTTCACCTCTCTAAACTTAAACTAAGAATTCTTATTAAGAGTAGAGGTCATTTTTCTCACTGGCAAAAAGTTAATAACAAAGCTCACTCAGTAAAATATATATTAAGGAAGAGTTTCATGTCATGTTCTACTCTAATAAGCTATCTAAATAGTTTCACTGATTAAAGAATGCTTCACCCATATGCTACATTAACATTTTTAAATTATCTATTTTCATTAATTATGGGCAGAGTTTCCAAATTAATTTTCTAATAATGGAAGTTCCAACTATTAGTATGAATTAGTGAGTATTTTTTCAAATTGGGCAAAAAAGTAAAATAAGCAAAAACAAGGTAAATTTTGATATAACCACAATACTGTACCTCGGTTGTCCTATTCACCATCATCTGAAGCAGTGTTGTATGGGAAAAAGAGGGAAGATATTACACAGTGCAAAATTAAGAACACAGTCAATCTGCTCACTGCAACTGGATATCCTGTTCCAACATGCCAAAATGCATTCTACCAAGAGAAGACATACATAACACTATACAATTTTACCTTTTTAATTCTGTTTCTATTATTTTTGACTAGAAATAAAGTAAATAAGCAGATTTCTAAAAAGCTGAACTTCATCTTTTAAAAAAGTAAACTCTAATTTTATTTTTTGGTTGCTACTGTACCCAATGGACAGTATGCTTCTTTCTGAAAGTAATTTATCCCATTTGATGACTGGAAGTGATTTTGCACTGTCACCACGGCCTACTACTTTGTCACTGCCCAGAAGGAATGTGGTGGCTGCGGAGTTCTCTTCCCCAAATGTGTTGAGCCTTTACCTTGGACTGCACGTCAGCGTTGTGATCGTTCTGAAGCAGGAGGGCGGCAGACTTGGTGTCGTCCTTCCGAGCTGCAATATGCAGAGCTGGCAGCCTCACTTTTCCTTTGGTGTCATTCTCCAGGAGGATGGCCACTGCCTGGTTATGTCCTTGCTGGAGTGCCACAGCTAGAGGTGTAAAGCCATCCTAGTAATGTAGAAAAGGAAAAATCTTCCATTAGCTTTTGCAAGTGTGGGATTCAAGTCCAAGCAATGGTGCCTCTAATTTTAAAGTAATGGTTAAGATTGACAAGCAGGGCAAAATGATTAAATATCCCTCTGAAGATTACAGCAGATTATAATCAGTCATTTACCATACTATGGATTGGCTTCATCAGACTGTTTTCTTAATTTCTACAATATATATATTTAAAAACATCTGCATTCCCTAACAAAGCATACTGCATTCAGGGTGTGTTCAACTTGCTCAACTGTATGTTTAGAATGAAAAAATAAAAAGCAGAACAACCCTATGGCTGCTTATGGAAAGGAAAAAGCAGGAAGGGTAGAAATAACAGAGACCGAGTCTGGTTGAGAATCAAAGATATGACAGCCAAGACAGGGAAATACATTATGTGATTAGCTATGCAAGTTACTAAATACCTATGTGTTGATTAGGAGAAAAAAATAACAACTGTTGGCAGGATGCTCTATGACCAATTAATTTTGGAAGTTTGGGACATAATGTGATCTACAATTCTTTGGCAAATGAGGCTAATTCATTGATTTTGTACTTAGTTGAATTGTACATTATTTATATCATTTAGATATAAAATTACATGTGCTAGGGAATATAAAAAATATCAGCTTTTTGATCTTAAGCTTAGAAAAATGATTTAAAAAATAATAGCACAAATCATCAAAGTTAATGAAGTCATAGAGGTGGACAGAAAACAATACTAGAAAAGTTGGAAGCCTTGTTTTTCTCTCTAGAAACAAATACTTGCTTGATGGAAAGGTGACAAATAAATAGAAATAAAATACATTTTAGACTCTGTTTATGTTTAAACCTCCCTTAACCCACTAAAGCTTGAAAAGAAGTCTCAGAGTTAAAAGTTTTCATTCATAGAGAGAAGAGATAAGGGCAATCAGACAGTACACTTTACAACAGTATCCCAGAGACCCCAGCAATTTACCATGATCTGACTACTCTATTTGTGTCAACAGAAATTTGTTAAAATGTACTAGACTTTTGAGGGAAAAATCATTTTCCTTAAATGCATTGTAACCTATATGCACTAAAACAAAAATTGAATTTAAAAAAAAAACAGAATTTTAAATAACACATTACTTAATAGAATGGAAGAGTAAAGCATGTAGTGTTGGATGCCCACAAATAGTTACCTAAATTTAGAACTTTGGTACAAATCAAGCTCCCTGTGGAGGAGGAAAGAACAGGCTCATTATCATATATGCATTTAATTTGAGTAGCCCCTGCAACACTGTGATAGTTTATATTAAAAGAGTGTGAACTTTGGTTTTTCTTAGACAAGGCAGTGGCTGGTAGTACAGAATGTAATTAGAAAGGTTTTAGCCTTCAATTTTGGTAACATTCAGGAAGAAGGAGGAAAGCAGAGAATTATATAAATGGTACTGGAGGAACAGAGAACTCCCTGCAGAGAATTTAACTTTGGAACTCTACCATGTGGATTTCATTCAAATCTGTATTTCATGGGAGAAGTATATATATTTGGAATGATTTTTTTTCAAGTACCTCAACTAATTCTACAAAAAGGAAATACATTAAAATTCAGTTGCTTCATTTTTCATCATTTATTTACCAATGCTAATTGCTGTAAATAAGGGAAATTTCAAAGCTTTAAATATTTCAAACATGAGTTTCATTGCCATATTGAGTGATCTCATAATTACCTGATTTTTAAAGTGGCAGCAGTATCTCGATCAGTAATCAGTTTTTGTAAATTAGGGCTACTAATGGGCTCAGGGTGCCTTCTTTAGGTATATTCACACACATGTGCCCATGAGAATGCAGAAGCTATTTATTGATGGAATGTCAAATATCAAATAGTAAACAAGCATGAAGCCCTGCCAAGATTTATTTTACAGAATGACTTACTAAAAGGGAACATGCAGTGCTTTGTCCATATGTGCCTTGACAATCATCAGAACCAGTGGCAGGGGCTAACCAACTAAGGTTATATATGTCTAGTCAGGAAAAATTAATTTTAGGTGCTTAAATTATTAAAAAATGAAATAGTAATAGGCATATAAGTGTCTAAGCTGGAATTCACAACCTCGTATGATTCACTTGAAAAAGCCACATTGTATGTGGATGTCAGAGAGGGCTTTAATTTTCTGAGAATCACAGTGGAATATGGTCTGTGCCAATGCAATGTACATAAAGGGGTATTTTTAGAACCGGACTGCAATGTTGCAGACATCTAGACTGAAGGAGCCTTGACAGAAAGGCTGAGACTGCCAGCAAGCTGAGTTTCCCTAAACCAGACACTAGAAATATTAAGTCTATTTGGTCAGTAACAGAACTCTGTAGGGTAAAATGTTCTTTAAGTAAATGAACTTTCAAGGGAATATAATAAAACACAGATTTCCTTATTTTTGTATATTTCTCAGAGTTCCTGATGCAGATATATATACTCTTATGCTGTTATTCAAGACTTGCCTGAAAATATTCCTGTTACTCATTGTTAGAATTAGTGTCTCAGAAAAAGTTGGCCCCGTGTAATAAAAATGAGGCTGTACCCTTGTGGTAAGAGTGTAAAATCTATTGTGCTGTATAGAGAACTTAGAATCATTTCACACCAGGCAGCTGTGTTTTCCAGTCATAAGCAAGAAACGTGTTCCCATTAACAGAGATTTCTTGGGTTTTTGTTTTTTTTTAACTAATGAGAATAAGCTGTCAGAAAGTTATTGCAATTGGCTCCATAAAAAGTTCTCTCCCAAAGGGACTGGAAGATTTAACAGGTTATTAACTGGATTTAATGGATTAATGGATTTAAGAGGTTACAACTTAATAGGTAATAATGCTCTCTCCCTCGATGTAGGATAGGAGAGAGTTCATGTTTCTTCCACCTAAACACTTAATTGTCCAGGAAGGAAGCCATATTAGACATTAAAAATTATCAAGTTAGTTTCTAGGTGACAAGCATCTACCAGTCATATTTCATTCCATGCCAGTGGTTTTAAAGTTTTATCAGTGGAGCCACAGAATATAAAATAGGAAAAACAAAGCCTGCATACTCTGGTTGAAATGGGTAAGGAGAGACAGGCCCAGTGGAACTCTTTCCCTTTTCTCCCATGTCACCCTCTCCTCACCTTCCAGTGGCCCCTGAGGCATTTTCCCCCTGTTTAAGGTTTCCTGGAGCATCACTTAAAAATCATCATTCTAAACAAACATTGAATGTGCTCCTTAACCTGCCTACGCCAAAATGAGAAGGAAAATACAAAGCAAATTCTGCTTATTGGAGGAAATGCATAGAAAAAGGAAAGTGATGTTTTAAGTCGGCCCACTCCAACCTCTCTTATGTCTAGATGTCCTAAACGTCCAGACTGACCTCGAACACTCTATTCAGTTGTTGCCATGACCATGGTCACCCAACTCTGAGTCATGACTTGTCTTTCAGAAAATATGAACAGCTTTTTCATAAAACTGTTCTAACACAAATATGTACTCATTATTTCTGATCATTAAAAATTGTTCCTTTCAGGAACTGTACTGGATCCTAACAAAGATAAAAAATAGTGATGTGATGGAAGAAGATAGGAAGAATTTACTATAATTTTACAAGAGTATAACGCTCCCCAAATCCAGAATGTCAAATTGATGGAAGCATGATTTCGTGTTAGAATAAACTGATGCAAATCCCAAATTAAGACACAAACACATTGAACTGTGTGCCCTGAGTTCATTGCCACTGTTGATTACAATAGTAACATGAACAGTCCTAGCATATGGAGATGCTTTGCAGCTGGACGGAGGGAATATGGACATTAAGACAAAAGAACCTAAACCTTTAAGGTTGACATTCTTACCTCAGTAGCAGTGCTCTGATTAGCTCCATTTTCCAGCAAATATTTCACAACATCAATGTGGTTCTCTTGGGCAGCCATGTATAAAGGAGTGAAGCCATTCTGAGGACAAACAGTAAAAAAAGACACCTTCAATCTTTTAATTACTAAAATTTAAACCAGGGAAGAAAACAAGACAAAGGAAGAGAACACTATGAAGTAAACCTTTAAAATAGTAAAATATGTAACATACCTTCATATCGAAGAAGTAATACATACATTTACTACTGTTAAACTAGACAAAATCAAAGTGAATCAATTGCCACACGCAATTCCTAAAAATGAAGAGAAAGGGAAATGGAAAAAATATTTCCCTCATGTTCTGTCTTCATTTCAGTACCGGAGAACCACATTTCTCATCACCTACCACTGTTAAAACTAAAGCTATTTTGTACCTTAACATCTATATAATTCTATAATATATAGAATTCCCACTATTTATAGTATATTTATAAAATAATATTTCATAATATCTTCAGTATTTATCAATTCATAAATACTTAAACAAACCACTGTTATCTTGAATGTACACCACTTAGCACCTTTAAAAGTATAATTCCTTATTCCAGCATAGGCTAGAAAAGGTTACAAATCTGACTGAAAAATTTAAAAATCTGTATTTCAGTGTTCTGATTGAAGTAGCAGTTTATAATGTGCTTATATAATGTGTTATAATGAATGTCTTTAAGTTATTTTATTTTTTTTTTTTGAGAGGGCATCTCTCATATTTATTGATCAAATGGTTGTTAACAACAATAAAATTCAGTATAGGGGGATCAACGCTCAATGTACAATCATTAATCCATCTCAAGTCTAATTCTCATCAGTCTCCAATCTTCTGAAGCATAACGAACAAGTTCTTACATGGTGAACGAATTCTTACATAGTGAATAAATTCTTACATGGTGAACAGTACAAGGGCAGTCATCACAGAAACTTTCGGTTTTGATCATGCAATATGACCTATAAACAATCAGGTCAAATATGAATATTCGTTTGATTTTTGTACTTGATTTATATGTTGATCCCACATTTCTCCTATTATTATTATTATTTTTATTTTTAATAAAATGCTGAAGTGGTAGGTAGATGCAAGATAAAGGTAGAAAACATAGTTTAGTGCTGTAAGAAGGCAAATGTAGATGATCAGATGATCAGGTGTGTGCCTATGGACTAAGTATTAATCCAGGCTAGACAAGGGCAGCAAGACATCCACAGATGCAGAAGATTTCTCTCAAAGCAGGGGGGGTGAGGTTCTGAGCCTCACCTCTGTTGATCCCCAAATTCTCACCTGATGGCCCCCCTGCGACTGTGCCTGTCTTAGGTTGTTCCTCCCTTGAGGAATCTTTCCCGTCTCTGGCTAATTTAAGTTATTTTTTAAAAGCCATTCTGAAATTCTGTCATTCATTAATTCTTACATTTACTATTCAATTATTTACTAAAATCCAACTATTGGTAGCTAGACCATTACTCAGATACACTGATAAACAAGAAAGACATTGGCCCTCACAGAGCATATACAATGGTAATATAACATTATTATATATTCAGATTTTTAAAAAATCACTGAGATTTTATAACTTAAGTTTAAAACTGTTTAAATTGGAAAATTTTCTTTTCATTAGAGCCTTTGCAGTATGTAATATCTCATTAAAGAAAAAAGTACAAAACTTTGTGTAAAAAAAAATGAAATTGTGAACTAATTCACAGACTCAAATCTAACAATTATTTCAATATAATGTCAGAGTCTTAAATATAGTTGATTGCCTTAAAATTCCATGCATTAATGAGAATAAGTAAAAACATAGATGAGACTTTAGGAATTTTTAAAAACTTAAAAGGGGAGAAAAATAACTCTGGAAAACTCTACATACATTGTCTGTGTGTAAACATCACTCCAAATGGCCAAAATTCAGTGAAATATAAATACAGAGTATACAGGTAGGATAAGAAAATAAATTTTAAACTTGATTGTAAGAGAAAAGCTGCAGGATTCAAATGGAGGAGCAAAATTTAAAGCTAAGAAATGTTACAAAAGGAATGAAATAACATTTTGTTGTATTCAGAAAAAATTTGTTCGCTGGATAGCTTATTTTTTAAAACACAGTGAACAGGTGAAATCATGGGTATTTTAAGAATACTGAGAGGTGGCGGAAGGATGGAATTAGAGATTCAAAGGAAGGGAAAGCCAGAGGATGGTTAACAACAACGAGTGGGTGCAGAAAGGGAGCTCTCTCATGACAAGTAAAAGGCAGCGGTGCAAAATGAAAAAAAGAACTTTTTATAGAGTAAAACAATTTGCTTACATGGTTTCCTCTAACAGGATCTTGTCTACAGATCAGGAGAAAGGGAAATAGACTGTGGTTGCCAGATCAATAGGGGAAAGGAGATATACCATCCTTAGGCTCCTGCACTGATCTATGGTTTTAGAGGGGCCTCCTCCAAATGAGCAGGGCAGGGGGCCCAGAGGGCCAAGAGGACATGTCCACCCTGCTCCTGCAGGTCCCGTACTTCTAGACCATACACCAGGTATGCAGCTACCCACAATCCTTGTTCTAAGCAGCCCCAAGTATGGTTCCAGTGCTGCTCAGACTGTTTCTTTGGGTTCTTCCATCCAAACGTGTGTTGTTAGATACAACCTGTAGCAGGCTGACTAATGACCCCCATATACATCTGCATCCTAATCCCTGGTACCTGTAAATACTCCCTGATATGGCAAAAAGAACTCTGCAGATGTCTGACCAAGTTAAAAATCTTGCAATGGGGAGATTTTCTTGGATCATCCATGTGGGTGACATGTAATCACAAGGGTTTTATAAGAAAGAAGCAGGAGGTCAGAGAGGAGAGAAGATACTACACTGCTGGCAATGAAAGTGGAAGACCAGGATGTGCTCCAAAGGAAACAGATCCTCACTTAGAGCCTCCAGAAGAAACCAGCAGTGCCAACACCTTGGTTTTCATTCTGTAAGACTAACTTCAGACTCAGACTTCTGAAGTTATAAAAGAATAAATCTGTGTTATTTTAAGCCATTGAATTTGTAGTAATTTGTTACAGCAGCAATAGGAATCTAATACACAGCCCCAGGGTTGTTCACTAGGGAGCGTGAAAGCAGGAGATCCACCGATCCTGAAGGTGTAGACTGGGGTGTCCGTACCCTTCCCTGTGATGCTCCTGTGGTGCGAATGGAGACAGGGCTGGGGAGGAAAGAGGAGCAGCCGTAGGCTGGGACTCAGAATCAGCATGCCCTTGGCTACAGTCCTGCCTGGGACTCCAAGGTTTCTGAGAATGAATTTGGATCTGTATGTTGTTATAAAGATATATATTTAAGGTAGGCAGATAGAAGATACTTATTTTAATAGTTTGTTAGTTTGCTGTATAGCTTTTAATTTAAAAAAATAGATTGTTAAGTGGGCCTCTTTTGTACTCTTGTCCTGGTCCCTGCAGGTGTTAATGGTGGGTTAGAGTAGCAGAGAAAAAAAATGGAAAATATTAACATGTGGTACACAGTGGGGAAAGGGCGGGGACAGCCAAACATTCAGGATCTGGGTTAGGGTGCAACAGGAATACCACTGGTGCCTCATGACACAGCCTCAGTCTGTAAGGGCTTCCATCAGAGCAGGCGATGCAAATATGAAAAATACAAATAAAAATGATTTATTGAACTGCTTCTATATATTATTCATGGTGAAAGATGACTTGAATACAGAACTTCAAATTACCATGACCACATGCCCTAGTTTGCCTGGAGAGTCTCTTTATGCATAGTATCCTGCAATAATGATTAAGTGTCTCAGTTTGGATGATAAATTAAATGGCCTAATATTATCTCTAATACTTGAACAGTGCATCGCAGTGCAACACTGATATTGTTATCCCTGGTGGAAATGAGGCCTCAGCTGAGGCTCAAACATTTGGGTAACTTGGTCAAAGTCTCACAGCTGGTAAGTGAACTGGTTCCGGTCACAAAAAGCCCTTCCCTACAAAGAAGCTGGACTTGATCTTGTACATGTGTGGTCCTCAGTCTGGCTTTTGATTTAATTGCCTGTGGAAACTTGTAAGAATGCCTAGTTACCCTCCTGCCCCCACTGAATTGGAGTCTCCGTGTGTGAAGCCAAAGTACATGCATTATTTTAAAAGCTCCGTTTCTGAAGTTACCGTAAGAACTTTGTTATAGGTGAGACAGAACAACTGAAGGGTTTGGGGCAAGGAGTCCCGAGATCACATCTGCATTTCAGAAAGTTCACACTGTTGACCACAGGCCATGGTTTGGGGAGGCGGGAGGCAAGAATGGAAGCAAGAGGTTAATCCTGTTGCAGTAGTTGCAATAGTATATATAAAAGGTGGAGGAAACATGAGTCAAGACAACAAACACCTTGGCTAGGACAGGGAGGGTGCTATTTGCTTTTATCAAACACAGTGAAGTAAGAAGGCAATAAAGATTTACAAGTGGTGCTAAAGATGTGGGAAATTATTCTTTCTTAGCTTACTGATGCTATTTAACAAGAAGTAGTCCACCAGATAATATGAAACATGCCTCCGGGTAATTGGAAAAGGGCACAGAAGCATTTTAACACCATTGTAAATTTTGAGGAAAGTGGTTATCTTCACACATAAATAGGTTAACGACACAGGATTATTGACCTCAGTGCCCATATATCCACAGCCGGGGCTGATCCTCGGAGGGTGGCAGGCGAATACAGCATCATCAAATGTTACAGTGGCTCTGGTGTGACCAATAGGTGCTTCTACCAACTGGCTATTAATATTTTGAATGTTTAACTCCATAGCAATTTATTTATTATTTGTCACTTATTTATATTTATTCAACAAAAATGCGTTTGGATACTGGTCACTGCTGGGCATTGTATTACCTTTAGTGACTCAGAGATGAAAGACAACATCCCTGTTTCTTAGGGGTTCACAGTCTAGTGCTGAGATGGGCAAGTAAGCAAGCTACTATTACAGTTAAAACATATATGATTAGTTCCTTTTTTCTTTAAAGCTATGTTGTTAGTTATAAAGAACATAGGAGGACACAGAACTCAACAGGGATGAGGAAATA